TTCTTATAATTGACTGAATGAGCATTTTAATCCCTCAGTGGTATCTATATGTGTCTATAAAGGTAAGATCACAGGTAAGAAATGCAGATGAGAATGAATAAGACCTCAGGGCTCCACTTACACGCCGCTTCACCTTCTGGAGCAGCATCTGGACTTCATTACCCAGATTTACACAATATGTGCATTTAAGCCCGTTTTGATCTCTCCGTTTCCCCCCGATCTTTCCAGCATTTAATGGACTGCCAAACCTTACATCTCGAATGAGGCCGAATCTACAGCAATAAATCTTGCCTCACGACCGCAAGCGGAGAGCACTGATTCTCATGCTGCATGGTTTGTGTGGAGGTCGATGCACTTTTCAGTGTTGCCAACTCATTTTCAGGGGAAGTTGCTAAAGGAAGGTCGATTTGTTGCTAAAAGTTGCTGAATGACGTTGTGATGCCATGCGCAATGACGTCATTACGTAATCACGACGCAAAATTTTGTCACATCATCAAATCTCAGCAAAAAAATGTGCGCTGTCTGATGCCGCGCCAAACCCTGTGGCTGAAAAAAAAAAAAAAATTATGTTTTTTTTTTAATTATTATTATTATTTTTTATTCTTGGGCACGAGCTTTACTAATAAATATTTGTTTGACGATGAAAATGACCGTATGCCGACCTGATAATAATTTCCATGAAATTATTCACTCACTATTGATACAGGGGGTTGCAAAAATGTCTGAAAGTCATTTGGACATTTCACTCACACACTGAAGCGGTTTCTCACACCATAACGGGATATTCTTTTAAGACAGAAAACAAAAGCGCTGGATGAGGTGCTATTTATCTACAATCCATTGTACGGAAGTAAAACAAAAACAAAACAAAAAATAATAATTTTATCTCACTATTCTGAGGACAAGAAAGTCAAGACTTTTTTATTTATTTGTTTATTATTTTTATTAATTTTTTTAATGCCGTGGCATAAACAAGCTTCCATTATGCTCTGTACTGAAGGTAGACACAATTTATATCCACAAAAGAGTTTCTCAGTATTTTTGTCTTGTTTTCCAATAGAAATATCAATGACAGGCCTACATTAACTTGAGAAGCAAAATGACGTAAGACATCCAGTGTTGTTTTCTGGAGGAAAAAAACTAAAAGTATCAAATTGTGAGTGAGTTTAAGCTCGGGCTTCTGCTACAAAAGAAAATATTTTGTCAAATATTTTCTGACCAAACAGTTTTGGTGACCACTCAATTCCATGTTATGGACAAAAACTTTTATTAAAATATCTTGTTTTACGTTCCACGGAAGGAAAAATGCCAAATCAACACATCAGCGTTGGTATTTTACTGTTAGCTTTGTTAAGTTTTTACAAATAAATAAAAAAGTCATGCTCTTCCAAGTTTTATTTCAGTTCATATTATTCGGAGAAACATTGTCTTATTGCTGATCTCAGACCTGTAAGTGCCTTATCTAAACCAGTTTATGATAAAAACCAAATGTATAAGGTCTGGTCATGAAATAAAACGACAGAGTAAATTGATCTGCCCAGTTTTCCTGTCTCCTGAAGATGAACACTTATCAGTCAGCCATGTGGCAGGCCACACATCTTTAAGCCATTTGCGGAGAAGGCAGATAAAGAAGCTCATTCAGAGGGCCCTTCATCTCAGGGGAAGTGGATGAGACTCGCTCTTAAGAGACTGACTTACAGCAGACCTGCTGTCTCGAGCACCCAGTATTTCTGACTATTTTAAGATCTGTTGATGAATTTGATACCGTTTTAACTTTTTTAATATGCTTGAAAGAAGTCTCTTGCTAACCAAGCCTGCTTTTGATAAAAAATACAGTAAAAGTAGTAATTTTGTGAAATATCATTTAACTGTTTTCTATTTTAATCATTTAAAAATGTTATTTATTCCTGTGATGCAAAGCAGAATTTTCAGCATCATTGCTGAATAGCAATTAGATGAAAAGCAAAGCTCAAATGAACAGCTTTTTCCCTGTGAAATACAAATACAAATTAACAGCATGTACTTAGGGTTAGGGTTAGTTTTAGAGTTGCTGCATATAATTATGCATAGTTTACTGTTAATACTATAGTAAGTGCATGTAGTATATGTAACAAGGACACTGTAAAATAAAGTGTTACCCCTTTCTCAATAAAATATGAATTTATTTCTATAAATTAAAAGGTTACACTTTATTTCGATAGTCCACTTTAGACATTCTACTAACTATAAGTAACTTTGTAACTACATGTCAACTACATGTCAACTAATTCTCATTAATTTGCAAGTACATGTCTACGAACTCTCAGAGTAGAATGTTAGGGTAGGTTTAGGGTTAGTAGAATAAGTTGACAAAGAAAGTGTTAGAAGATAGTCTTAAGTGTTAAGCAGACAGTTTCTTACAGTAACTTTTTACACCAAACCTTATTCCTCACAGTTTAATCAACATACTATTGAGGATTTGACTTGTGACACAAAATATAGAAAAAAAAAAAAGAAGAAATACATCTCATTTAAAGGGGTCATATGATGCTGCTAAAAAGAACATTATTTTGTGTATTTGGTGTAATGAAATGTGTTTATGCGGTTTAAAGTAAAAAAAACACATTATTTTCCACATACTGTACATTATTGTTTCTCCTCTAAGCGTGTGACGGAAATGTTACGCCCCTCACCATATTGGGATGCCTGCAGAAACCACATGAGACGACCCCGGGCTGGACTCCGCTTCATCCACGGTGAAAGCCGATCCGGCGATCCACAGCGCGAAGTTGAAGTATTTCCTCAGCGACCAGCACGGATCAGCTCCAGGCATGACGAAGCAGATATCGTCCTCTTTTGGAAGACCAAACAAAGTAGTTTCGCTTTCACAACGAAACACACAGCACCTTCACGACATGGCGGCGGCAACAATACTACAGCGAGAATAAAAGTTACGCCTTCTTTCTTTGCGTGAACGTTTGGGCGGCGTTATGCAAATCTTCCCACATCGTGACGTAGATATGTGGGGGCGTGTTAGAACGAGCCGTTTTAGGAAGGCGTGGCTGACTCTTAACTTTTATAAAGAATATCTCTTAGGATTTGGGACTTTAGTCTTTACAACTTTACAGATCTTCTTTATGCACCAAGAGCTTGTAACACTCCAAAGAGAAAGGAAAAATTGAAATCGCATCATACGACCCCTTTAAATATGAAAGTAAACTTAGCTAGTCCTCTTCCTTTTCATAAATGTGTGTTGTGAGGAAGGCCGCAGTGCCTGATCTCAGCTGTTACATAATTGCATCCAGCTGCTGTTGATTGGAGCTGATTTGTGGTGCCACTGTTATACTGTGGCTCACTGCTCTGAACACACTGACACACACAAACACACCAGCAGCAGACCCACAAAAACAAGCTCTTTGACAAACAGCGTACAAACCATGATGCTTAACCCAGTAAAGCCTGACATATGAAAAAATAGTCAGTTTTTTTTAAACATGACAGTCTGAGACTATATATATATATATATATATATACAAATACATGTGTGTGTGAAAGTTTTTGCATGTGTGTTTTTGCAAAGTATCATATATGATCCATTAGGCTTTTATGACTAATACAGTATAGTATGATATAGTGGTAATACGGAGCTCATACTTTTGAGTAAAAGACACCTCCGTTTTAATCAGAGGCTCAAAATTAGCAAAATTATGTAATTTGGTGCAGATTTTAATATTATATGACCAGAGAGAAAGATGAAATTCTGATATCCTGAAATATTACTAACAATATAAAAGTTGTTCTTACATTTACTTTGTAAAAATGCCCCCTTGAACTCGTGGTTCACTTGTCTGTTTACTGTGAAATCTTTACTGATTTTTATAATTATACTAAAAGGCCTTTTACTTGCTAAAAAAGTATAAACTACCAATCAGGTGACAGAAGCCTTGTAGTAGATTGTGTCCCATGGAGATAGCCTACTACTCTTTCGCATACTATTTTTCACCTACTAAGCAAGTATGCATATTCGGATGCAGCCATACTTTACATGAATGCAGCTGTGATTGCTTGTCCCGTGCACACAATTGAAGCTGATATTGTGTCGCGAGAAACTAAAAGCCAAATGCAAGCATGTTGATTGGCCAAAAAAAAAAAACAACAACAAAAAACAAGCACACGCCACAGTTGTGTTCACATACTTAAGTATGTTTCTGGCCTTATGCTTTGTTCACACATTTAACTGGTAATGTTACAAATTCTCATCCCGGCAAATTGCCAGAACTGATTTACCCCGAATTTCTCTTGTTCACACAAGATCTGTAAAATAGAAATGTACCAGTAATTGTGTGGAAAGGGCTATATGTGTGAAACCTCCTTATGATATTCTAGTGCAGACATGCCCAGGTCCTTCATACTGTATATAGGTCTATGGGATCATTTCATGACTTGCAAAAATTTGGTCAAAGTTGGAAAGTCCAACACCTTGAAAAATCACCCCAAACACATGGAATGTATTGTTTTTATTGAATCAGTATATTCAGAACACTGACACTTGCCAATCCAGCGGCAACATAGTGATGAAGATGTAATGATTTAGAGGAATCCTCAATCCTGTTCTCCCATATTTCAATGTGTACATAACAGTTTTCATTTCATGGACAATGAAAAGAAACTACTTGAAAATGGCTTCTTTTACCCTGATATCTGTTCATTTTCACTGGGGTGTCTGTGTGTCCAACTAAAGATGTCAAGTGTGTGTGTGTGTGTGTGTGTGTAGAGGGATGTGGGTACAATGTACTACCTACATTCAGAAATCCAATTTATCCAGCTTAATTTTAATATTGTAGGTGGTATTTACAACAACAAAAAGTCCATTGCCAAAAATATATATATGTTTCAGATTTTCCAGTTCTGGGATTCATAGAATGGTTCATTCTTCAGGACAATACATACCATATAACATTTTTTTAACACTGTTCATCTTTTCTAATAAAAGTTGTTAGCAGTTATTTTCAATACATTACTTTTTTTGTATTAAAAACAGCTTTGCTAATAAGTCATAAAGCTTTCTCACAATAGGGCTTTTGACCAACACATCTTTCTGCACTGCTTAGCTGGTATTCGATTTTAAAATCGCAGTATGAGGAATAAATAAACAGAATGGCTCTGAGGACAACAGCTCTAAAACAAGGTAAGAACCAGAGTCACGATAGACGTGAATGTCTTTGGTCCGCTGAGGATAATATCTCCCATTCCGTCTGGCAGATTCAATTCAGAGTTCAAACATGCTTAAGTGCAGTTCTTGTTTCATCTGACGACACAAGCGCGATCTTCTGGATTCTTGAAGAATGGTGTGCTGTTACCTCACATGATCCACTTAATTGTACCAGCTGCAGTGGTTGTATTGTTTAGTGCAAAAAACTAAAAAATGACCCTTTTGTTATTAGAATATCATAGAAGAATAGGAATTAAAAAACGCATTTTCCAGTTTGATGCTTTCGAAATGAAAGGCTGTAAACACTAATATAAACGACTGCATCGCTCTCCCCAGTATGTTTTGTTTTACTTCATTCACATCTGTTACTAACCTTTATATTATTGTAACGTGAGTTTCTATTGTAACACGAGTAAGAAACAAACTTAACAGCACCGTTTGGAAAAGAACAGTCATTAAGACTCCTGAATGCACTCCCAGCGAACATTTCCACACTCTAAAACAGCCTTCATCTTCATTAGCAGGTGGATCCGCAGTTTCCATGACTCTTGCTGACATCCAGAGAGTAGTCTGCTCCCCTCAAAGGCTGCTTCAGATTGCTGATGTGTTTCAATCTCCATAGCAACAGACCATTAACAGGTAGCTGCCTTCAACTGACCTCGTTTTCAGTTCGGCTCCTATGGCCACTAGGGGTCCTCGTCCATATCATCGAGGTTTGGAGCCATGATGAAGTGCTTCGGATACACCAGGCTGTGCTCGTAAGCGTACTTTTCCCAGCGTGCATCGTCGCTCTCGTGAGTAATGTAGCGTTCCCTTCGGCGCGTCTCAAACTCTCGCAGATCGAGCCACGTCTGGTAGTCCTGGGACAGTGCAGACATGAACAAGTTGAGGTATAAAGCTCTAAAACGTTCTGAGAAGCCATTTTACAGGTTTCTAGGCTCCTTACCTGTAGCCACGGATGACTGAGGGTCTTATCCACACTGTAACGTTTCCTCATCTTGACTTGGAGAAGGTTGTTGATCAGATCTGTAGCTATAGAGTTAATTTGGAGATTGTGGACATAGTTAGACTGGTTAATACATGATCTGGGCCACATTTCCAAAAAGAGCAATCTGTTCCCTTACAAAAAAGTTTATTCAAGTGTACTGTTGGTGTACTTGTTTTAACCAAAAAATAAGAGAGTATACTTCTAGTGTACCTTATGTGTACATCTCTGACAGTACATACATTTGCTTTCTCATAATTCCTTTAAGAAAATTATTAGAAAATAAGTAAACAATACTTGGCATATGCTGACAGATATAGTGAAATATATGGCCTATACATATGAAATAATAGTCTGAATTTTTGCAAACAGTTTCACAATCTTTCGACTATATATATATATATATATATATATATACACACACACACAGAGTTCTGGCATGAAACTCTAGATGGCGCAGTCCGATAGGTCTAACTCAATCTGACCTAATGACATCATCATCACATGGCACAGCTGATTGGTTCTCTCCTGTATCGGTAGCCAATGAGCTCGCTGCTCAACATTCAAATATATGACTAGTGCTTGCCGTAGCAGTTGCAGCTTGCTTCAGAAACCCTCCACCTTCCCCAGCTCCACCTGTATAGATCTACCTGTATAGCAGCAGCAGTGTAGCAGATCTATTCCGCCAAGACCAAATACATTAACATTGTCATGTACATTACCATGCCAATGCCTCCGAGAGTTGTCATGACAGAAATAAATATATATAGCTTGCAAATGTGTTTTTTGTTGAATATCTGGAGTATCTCCAATAATATGTCTTCGTAAGATGATATGTAAATGCTTAGTATTATGATCAAAACATATAATGCTATGCAGTAAAATGATGATTGAGAGATGAACAAATAAATGTTCCTTAAAAGCCTGATGATCAGATTTGACGAACATTTCAACATGATTTTTTGAAGAAGAAAAAAAAGAAAAAGAAAAAAAAATATGCATGGATAATGAAGCCTAGCTTGCTTCAGGTCAGTAAGTGATCATCTTGAAATATCACTGTATCAAACATGATACAGTAGGATTTTCTAGGGTTAAGTGTTCTAGGTATACTTGGCTTGTATTTGTGTTTGCCATTTTTATAGTGTAGCTAACAACATTATACTTTTTTATAGTGAAGCTTAACTGATAAACTTACATCTTCAGGTTTGTAGTAACAAATCAGCTTTGGGGTTAAATAGCTTATAACTAGCTTTTAAGGAATGAATGGCTTATAAACAGCTTAGAGAAAATGGTACATTGGTGGAAGTGAATCTGATTGTTTTTGTACACAATGATATTAACCCAATAATTAGTAGTTTACGGAGTATAATTCAAAGTGTACTTCCATAAACTAGAAAGTGGGCTAGAAGTATATAACTGATAGTATACCTATAAGTTAATTTGTAGTACGGTTCAGAGTAGAGTCACAGCAACACAAAAGAAAAACTTATGTAAACTTAAATGTAAACCAGTTTACTTTTGTTACACTGAAATTACACTACACTACACTAAAAAAGTGGGCTAATTTAGTCCCAATTATTGGAATATTGGAGCGTTTTTTAGTATACATAATGTATACTTGGGAAAAAAAATTATTGAATTTCAAGTTTACTTCATAAAACAGGGCCCTTTGAAATCAGTGTTATTTTTTTCCAAAATTCGTTATTTTTTTCTTCATCTTAATTTTTCTGTACTCTGTTTTAATGGTTAAATTAAATTGTATTAATCAAAAAGCATGTCTAATTAATTGAAATCACGAAACTTACAATATTTAACAGCAATTTATTAAACGTTTAACAAAAAATACATTTTTAAGGCCCTATGAAATTTTTCTCAAATTCAGTTTTATTTTTACTATATTTTGGACTCCATTTGAATAGTTTCATTACATTTTAATAATCAAAAGCATCTCTAATTAATTGATTTTATACAAAATAATTTATTATTATTTTATTTTATTTCATTTCTTCTTTTCCAGAAATAATGTGTTGTGTATTTACATTTTTCTGGTAAATAAATTATGGTAAATCATTTTTTCTGGTAAATATTCCTTAAAAATAATGGTTTAATAATAATTTTATTAGTAATAGTAGTACTATCATTACATGAAGTAATGTATTTCTGTCAGTTTCTACAAAGTTAAGCCGAACTTTGACAGGTTGCTGTGAAGACATTTAAGTTTCTGTTTGTATATGATATGCGATAGTTTTTCTCAAAAGAAAAGGTAAAATGCTCATGAAATGACTCTCAGAGCAGTTCTAGAGATTATGTTTATGTGTTCATGTACTCATATATTGAGGCGGCAGAGGCTGAAAACACAGCGAGCATCACGTGCACCTTAACCATTCATTCACACCGAGACACGCAGAACATGCAGGATCCATATTTAAATAGTATTTTTGCAGCTTAATATTCACAGACACTAATCTATATTGAGTTTTGATTTAAGTTTATCAACCTACTTTTGATTTATCCATCCAAAATCTGGCAAATTCCGTGACATTCTGTGTTATACAGTAAATTCCATTCTTATTACTGGATTCTGTGATTCCGTCTGTTTTTTCTGCATCACGGAAATCATAGGGCCCTAATAAAATGAACTTGAGGAATACTTTTTTTTTTTTTTGTAAGGGTACTAGTTACAGTAGTTTAAGTACAAACTACAAAAATAAATAGTTTTATTATTTTGTGCAGGGAAATCAATTGCATTTAAATAATCCTTTATTAGATCATCTAATGTGCATTTGCAATGTCAATTTCACAAATGTATTAAAGGGTTGAGTTGCGAGCTTCCAGAGTTAATGACAGTGATAACAGTGTCAGCAATGCTCAAATCTCAGTAAGGAGCTTGTGAGCGTTGTCTCAGAGAGGAAGAGGAAGAATTTAATGTAATGTAAGCATCATGAATTTATATTTTTATTTAAATGCGCTTGAAGTCTATTCTATGACAACTGCTTTTTGGAAACACCCTGAAGGATGATTAACTGTATAAATGTTTCTGCAATCTATTAAGCACAGAGCTATTAGCAAACCCTACCATTCAAAAGTATGGGGTTGGTTTTGAAAAAAGTCTCTTATTCTCATCAAGATTGCATTTACTTGATCAAAAATACAGTAAAAACAGTAACATTGTGATTAATATTGCTATAATTTAAAATAAATTTATGCATTTAAAATAGAAAATGCTATTTATTCCTGTGATGGATGGCAAAGCTGAAAGTACAGTAACATTAACAAGAAACATTTCTTATTATTATCAATGTTGAAAACCCCCCCCCCATATTTCGAATGGTACTGTAGTAAAATAAAATTAAAACAAGTATAGAGCTGTAAGCTTCAACAATAAATTAAACTACTGTAATGATGGATTTGAGTATAATTGCTCCACAAAAATAAACCAAACTATAAAACTAAACATGTAATGATGTGAAATGTAGAGACAGAGAAATGGCATTTATAGTGTTGTAGAGGAGTGTGACAGACTGAAATTGGGAGAGGCTGGTATAATCTTTCAGGTCTTGGGCGGAAAGAACTATTCTAAACAGACGTGGGGGTGGACAGTCTGCTCGCTGTCTGACAAGACAGACATCTAGACATCTCCCTCTTTCTTCTAAAGCAAAAGATAGAAATTACACACTACAGTACAGATGATTACAAATGAACACCTCATCCTAAGTCGTTTGTAAAACAAAGTAATGCATTATATGCCTATTTCTTCTGAAAATGTACAAAACCAGTTTATCTTTGGTTTTCTCAGTAACTGCAACTACTCTATAAAAAAAAACAAAAAAAACATGGAGGTGCTGAGAAAACAGGTTCGTTCTTTAGAAAGTAGCTTGAAATCAGTAAAGCGCGGCTAATTACCTTCTGCAGAGATCTCTTTCCAGGGTGTTGATGGGTACATGAACGCTGCGTTCTGGATTTGGTCGTTAATGTCCTCGTCCTCATTAAAGGGGAAGGTGCCACTCAGACTGACATAGATAATGACTCCCACTGACCACATGTCCAGGGAACGGTTGTAGCCTTTACTGCGCAGCACCTCTGGGGCCAGATACGCTGGTGTGCCCACCACTGAACGCCGGAAAGATTTTTCCCCGATGATCCGAGCAAACCCAAAGTC